GTTACTTGTCCCAGCTTCTGCCAACCTAGCAGTTCGAAAGCATGTAAAAATGCAAGTAGAAAAATAGGAACCACCTTTGGTGGGAAGATAACAGTTTTCGGTGCGCCTTTTGGTGTTTAGTCATGCTGGCCACATGACCACAGAGACGTCTTTGGCTTTGAAACGGAGATGAGCCCCTTCCCCTAGAGGCGGGAATGACTAGCACATATGACTAGAATGAGGGGAACCTTTACTTTACCTATATCTAATTGTATGTATCAGTTTAGTCAACTACAGAATAGAGATTCTGGGCAGCAAGGTCTGCATGGATAAAACCTGTGATGGACAAGAAATATTGAGAACATAATGGAGGCAAACAGGTTTGTTCCATGTCATTTTTACAGATGAAAGAGTGGGAGGCTTTCCATCTTACATTCCATACCTCATTTCTTTGGACAATATGGTATCATTTTTGTAAGGATTATAATTTTGAAACTTCACATGGTGGGACTCTCGTGTTTGTTCTTTCACAGCTAAATGGACCTTTGCCAGACTCCTGTCTGGAAGGAAGCACAGAAAACATTGATCATGCGATGATCAGAGAATGAGCTCTTGGGGATTTGATCCTCTGACAACTTCCCCTTTTTATGTAATTAAACCCTTTTGGGAATGACTGGTTTTATTTGGCTGGACTTTACTAGCAGCCTTTAAATAAAATTAAATATTCGTTGATTTCAATGAGTCGCCTTCCTTGGAAATGAATCATTGTGGTTGGGTGAGTTGAAAGGAAATGCCCACAAACATTAAGGCTGTGAGAGTAAAGGGGTTTTATATAGTAACAAACTCCTAGGCTTCCTGTATAGGTAAGTAATCTAGGAAGTGGCATGTCCTGTACCATCTGCTTCAGATTAGCAGTAACTGACAATATCTTGGTCAGCAATCGTGGCTATTTTAACTTGGCTTTGCCAATCTGTGAGTGTGCAGTGAAATATAATTGGAACAAACATTATATCCATTTGCCCTTCAATAACCCATTAGGTATGGTTCAGAAATGTTCAGCAAATGAATTTATTCCTCCTCTCCAGGAGGTTTGTATTAACTAACTCATTAAAAGTGTATGTGTGTGTCTGTGTGAGTGTGTATGTGTTACCTTTGGCAATAGTTTCTGTCTCATTGCTGTAATTGCAATAAAATCCATGATGAGAAGAGAAGGTAAACGTTTCCTTTAAAATGATGTGTTTCCTAGCACAAGCTAACCTGCCAGGGATTCGTTACCACGTCCGGACCTTACTCACAACAATATGTTTTCTCTCCTCTAAAAAGGAAATGAGATTTAGAAAACCTAATTATAACAAGACTAAGTGCCCAGCCCCCCTTCCATCAAACTCAAAAAGTAAAACACCATTTAGAAGAAGTGTGGCCTCAAGCAAAGTCTTGGTTATGTTGTTGTTAATGGGAGAATTTCAGCAGAATAAAACATAAGCTTCAAAGTACATAGGAAGTTTCAGCAATCAGGAAAGAAAGCATGGTGGTCACCGATATACCATTCAGTATTTAGCTAAAAGTCCTGAAAATGGTATGGTGTGGACTTATAAATAGAGGACTAAATATTAATAAAAAAAATCAGCTAAATACTAAAAAGTAAACTGTCTCAGTAACAACATAGCTTCTTACCAGTAGAATTTTCTTATGATTTTATTTTTTTTGCCTAGTAAATTTCTTTATTCAAATATTACATTCACTGTGGGAAAGAATCAAGAGTATAACAAGACATGAGGATGTTAGCGTTATTTAGACTTATATATCGTTTCACGTTGCTTTACAGCCCTCTCTTAAGTGATTTACAGAGTCAGCATATTGCCCCCAAAAATCTGGGTCCTCATTTTACC